AAATTTGTAGATAAGAAAGTATTTGGGGTTGGTATCCAGGGAGAAACATGAGGTGTTGAGCACGACGTGACATTGCTTGATTTATCCATAACCACCGTGTCGTTGCCTTTATCTGCTGTATAGCCTGTATCTGCATTATCACTTGTATAAGTAAACCGTGTTTTACGCTATTTTTTCAGTACGACCATTAGCGTCTGGATGAATTACGCTAACTTTTAATATAGAGTAATCGTTATTTTCCAGATTAAGGATTCCTAAAGACATGGCAACGGCAGATATCAAGAAACCCTCGATGGTAAGTTCGTTTCACTGTTTCGCTGCCCTTCTTTCTTTGCAGGCCTTTGCTTTTCTGATTTATAGTCTCCACCAATTCCTCCGATCGATGGCAGAAATAATGTGGTGGCAGCGTCGCCAGCTAGGATTCCTACCGTCGAGCTAAAGGGCCTTGTAGGGTTTAGCAGTTTGCCTGACCAACTGGTGCATAAAGCGAAAAAGAACGGCTTCATCTTCAATATCATATGCGTGGGCGAAACCGGCATCGGCAAGTCGACCCTGATCGAGTCTTTGTTCAGCATGGACTTCAACTTTGAACCATGTAGCTATGAGCTGACTACTGTCGAACTGCGGCCTTATACTTTCGGTAATATTCTGCTTATTTCACTCTTAAGTAACTCGTAGTGATGTTCGTCGCACTTGATCTTTTATTCGCACACCATTGTGCAAATTACCTCCGTAGTTTACAGAAGAGGCTACATGAAACATTAGATATAGTAGCAGCCTTAAGGCTGATATGTCTGAACGGTGGTTATTTTGCCATCCGATGCGAAGAGTGGAAAATGAACCGTGATTGTAAGAAGTTGTATGATATTCGGATTTTCGATACTGCTAATAATATCTGCTGAAAAAAATAAGAATGGAAAATAGGAAATTAACGTTCTGGACCTAACAAAGTAAATAACTCATGTGCTGTTAATAAGAGCGATTTAACGCAGTGCCTCTGTTGTTTTGAACTGTAGTGTCACACATTCAATTCTGATAAGTGTGACTTTGAGTACAACATGATAGGATAAGGAGTTTAGTTTGGTTGGGTTGTTAATTATTGATCTTTACTTATTATAGATGCTTCACAAGGCTTCAAAACATTCAGGACATTAAATTGTTAACGCCGGGTATTTTGTTTAAATTTGACAAATTAGAAATAATCGTTAGAGATAGATCTAACGTCATTATATTCTGAATTCTCTAGCGAAATTCACTTTTGAATCTTACAATTAAACCTAACACATACAGCTACTTATCTAGCTTCACATGGCGGCGTAAGTCTATTTGTAGCGTTAAGCGGACCCACAATGCGAGCACCAAACGGGATTTGGAATCCACGTGCTGCAGAGCTATAATGACTGAAAGCCGTGATGTTCATAAAGGGTACCCTAGGCCATTATAAGCTAAGGGACCATACAGTTATGCCTTGCGATTCTGAAGAAGCGACTATAGTAGAATAGATCTAATAACATCCACCTTACGTGAAAAGGAAGTGGGAAAATGGCTCGACAGACTCTTCCGAACTCAGGCTATCGTCCGCCAAAGCTTACCGAAA